CAAAAGCTAAAACAAATCTCTCCTCTTTTAAGTTGATTTCCTCAGTATTTTGTTGTAGACATGACTTTTCTGCCCCACAAGTCACTCCCCAAATAGCCACACAGAGACTTAATATCAATTATAAATGCTTGGCCAATAGCTCACGCTTTTTTTTTTTAGCTTGATTTTATAACTTAAATTAATCCATTTCTATTAATCTATGTGCTGCATCTCCTTTGACTCTGCCCTTCTCCTACCTTTCTTTCTGACCCCCTCAAATCCTGCCTAGCCATCAGCCAGTCAGTCCTTTATTAACCAATGAGAGGAATACATATTTACAGTGTACAAAGATTGTTCCACAGCATTTTGTCACAGTGACACACTGGGAGTCTGAGGTCAAAGCCCCTGTAGATTCAGTATCTGGCGAGCCCCCCACTCCCACCCCACCCCTGTATGGCTGCCTTTCTATTGTCTCCAAATGGCAGAAGGGAGAAGCAAGCTCCAGAGGACTCTTAGAAGGGCCTCCACCCTCATGACCTGATCACCCCCGGAAGATCCTGCAAGCCCATGGTAGGAGGTAGGATTACAAAATGGACTTAGGGGAGGAAGTCCATTTAGTCCGTAATACTGGCATAACAATTAAATGGGTCAAAACACCTGAACCATTTTATGTGCCCCAAAGTACCGGCTGTTAGTTGCATTCCTTTGTTGCATTGAGAGCAGGCATTGCAGTCGTATCACACTGGGAAAACATGGCTGGACTGGGCCAGATGGCTCAACCAGTAAGGTCACTTGTCACCACAAATGGCAACCCGAGGTCAAATCCTAGGCCACATGGTAGAAGAAGAGAACCAACTCTTGGAAGTTGTCCTCTGATATCTAAATGTGCACCATGGCACATGTGTGCTCACCACACACACACACACACATACAAATCAACTTTTTTTTTTTAAGCACTAGAAACGACCAGGTATGATGGCACACGCCTTTAATCCCAGCACTCGGGAGGCAGGGGCAGTCAGATCTCTGTGAGTTCCAGGGCAGCCAAGGGAAAGTATAGACCCTGTATGGAGCAAACCAAACCAAACCAAAAAAAGAAACATTGTTGACCTATTTTCAAGAACTTTGTCTCCACTTTACTTCACTTTTTAACATACTTCTGAATATGATACAGTGAACATTTCATGATTCATCCTTGTTTTCCACCAGGCTTTAGATTAAATGTCTTTTCTTCAGAGAAAGCCCCAGATAAACAGGTCACCACTGTTACAACTTGCCTCCGCTATGCCTATTTCCTTTGTAGCACTTCTAATTTTGGGGTGGGGGGGGGATGGTGATATTTAGAGACAGGGTTCCTCTGTGTAACAGCCTTGGCTGTCCTGGAACTCTCTTTGTAGAACAGGCTGGCCTCAAACTCACAGAGATCTGCCTGCCTCTGCCTCCTGAATCCTGGAATTAAAGGAGTGCGTCACCACCGCCTGGCTGTGCTTATGATTTTTAACGATCGAATTTTCTTGGCTATTTGTTTCTTGAGCCCATTAAAAAGTAACTAAGTTAGGGATTGTGTCTGTCTTATACCTTTTATTTCTAGTGCGTAGTCTGGCCCTTGATACGAAGTAGCTCCTCGGTAGATATTTTGGGTGGGCGCAAATCTAGATGGGTAGGTTAATGAAAAGATGAGTGAATGGATAGATGGATAGACAGACAGGCAGACAGACGCATGCATAGGTGAATGAGTCACAATGCGTGGGTGGGGGGATGGATATTTAGGTACATGAGAAGACAGATGGGACGAAAGGATAGATGACAGATAAGAAGAGAGAAAGCTGATGTTCCACACATATTTTCTGGCACAATGGAAGCATGGACGGGGTGGATGGAAAAAAACGGTTTGATGGAATGAAAGCTAGGGATGAGGAAGGAGAGCCTTGCTGGGGCATTAGCATTTCATCTTTGCTCCCGCAGGGGACGCTGCAGAGCCACACGCACTGACAGTGCGCACATTGGTGCAGCTGGAGCCCGCGGCGCGCGCAGCCGCAGCTGTGTGGACACTGCGGTTGTTGGGGAGCGTCCTGCGCAATCCCACACTGCGGCACTCACACGCACTTTACCTCACATCTCAGCTCGCCAGGTCACTTCGGATCTGCGCTCTTGGCCGCTTCCAAGGCCTCCAGTCTCCTTTAACCGGGGAAACCAAGGACCGCGGAGGTTAGGGTGCAGGTTTGATTCTCCCACCCTTGCGGACGGACTGTGGACTTCCCTGGGGGACTCGGGGAGGAACTCGGTGGTGGGCTGCGACCTCGGCCTCCCTGGGCTGATGGCCCAACCTCTGGGGAGGGAGCCTTTGGGGAGGGTGACCTGGGGACGCAGTGCCAGTGCGCCTGGGCGCAGGTGGAGGGTTGGGGGCTGAGCCCCGGTGCCATCCGAAGCCGCTTGTCGTTTTCCACACAGGGTCCTCTGACTGTTGACCCGCGGGTTCTGATCTGCATCCTTTCAAGTTGATGCGCCCAGGACCCAAGGACGCAGCACTGGGACTCTGGTGTGGCGCCTTGCAGTGACACCCCATCCCCAGTGCTTGCTTGGGCCTTGGCTGCGAGGCCCTCTTGACACCTCGAAGGATGACGAAGCTGGTCTGCGGCAGCCAAGGCCCCTCCCCCCAACTCTTCGCACTCGCTGGTGGGCATCACGGCCCAGGAAGCAGGAGTCGAGGTAAGTGCTTCGGGTGCGCCTTGAAGCCAGAATGGCACCTAATAGCTTTCCCATGGGCACCAGCAGAGGGGTGGTGTGGACCTTAGCCAGGTTCTGATGACAGCCCGGCAAAGACCTGTGCAGAAAAGCCTTGGGAGTCTGGACTCAGGCCAGAAAAGACCCCAGGTCCTGTGTGAATATAGTTCCTTCCTTCTTAGGTTGGGAAGCTGCAAAGGCAGATCTGTATCTGGCTGCATGGCATCTCTGCAGTATCTGTGGTGTGAATGAAACCAGTTTCTCATTTTGACCCTAAACTGGTCTTCTTGTGGATGGCAGGTCGGGTCTTATCTGAAAGGATGATTGCACAGGTCTGAGGTCTTCGAAGTTGGCAGTTGGACAGTCAGCCAGTATTTTTCCATTTGGGGTTCTTTGACAGGAGAGAGGATAAGGAACCTTCTGGAACCGCTGTAGTGCATCAGAGCTTGCACAAAAGATCTGCAGAGTGCCCTGTCATAGATGATTTGTTCTTCCTGTGATGTTGCCAACGTTTTCTCCACCCCCCCCGCCCCCCCACGAGAAAATGCTGAGTCACGACTACTGTAGCCTCCCTTGTTTCTGGTCTATGTGGCCATTGCGCTGGGAATTCTTCATGTGCTGCCCAGGACCGATTTGAACAGGTGACATTTAGATGCTTATTTACATGCTTCTTGATTACCGCAGAACTGACACCTTGGTGCAGAGGGGCCACGAGAGGCATCTTCATCCTGCCAGGAAGCAGCTGGACCACAGTGCTCCCTTGGTAAGGTCTGTACTTAAGATGGCTGCCCCTCAGTTGTGTAGCTTGGTCTGTGTGTGGGGCTCCTAGCAGTGGGATCAGGACCTGTCCCTGGCGCTTGAACTGGCTTTTGGGAGCCTGTTCCCCCATGCTGGGATGCCTCACCCAGCCTTGATGCAGGGGGAGGAGCTTGGTCCTGCATCAACTTGATGCCTCATGCTTTGTTGACACCCATTGGAGATGAAGGGGGGGGGGAATGGGAGGAGCCGGGAAGGAACAAGAGGAGAGGAGGGAGGGGGAAAATGGTCCATATATGGAAAAATAAATAAAAAACTTTAATAAAAACCAATCAATTAAAAAAAAAGATGGGGAGATGTCGCAGTGGTTAAGAGCACTTGACTGCTCTTCCAGAGGTCTTGAGTTCAATTCCCAGCAACCACGTGATGGCTCACAATCATCAATAATGGTATCAGATTCCTCCTGGTGTGCATGAAGACAGAGCACTCATATACACGAATAAATAAATCTTAAAAAAAAAAAAAAAAAAAAAGATGGCTGTCCCCAAGGGATGCTCACAGGTCCCCAGGAATGGGATAGACTGGGAAGTAAATGGACAGAAGATGAAGGTGGCTGTGTCCAGTGCCCCCTTTTATTCTCCTTTGGGCAACTGACATACATCTGATTGTCCTGCCTGCTTCAATCCAGAGTTCTGTGATCCTCCTTGCTTTGGTAGGCTAGCAGCAGGAGGTCTGAACCAGAAGCACCAAGGATGATGCTGCATCCTACCCCCCTGGACCCAGGTCTGTCTTAGTTAGGGTTTCTACTGCTGAGATGAAACACCATGTCCAACGCAGCTTGGAGAGGAAGGGGTGTATTTGGCTTACACTTCATATCACCATTCATCACTGAAGGAAGTCAGGACAGGAACTCAAACAGGGCCAGAACCTGGAGGCAGGAGCTGATGCAGAGGCCATGGAGGGGTGCTGCTTACTGACTTGCCCCCCATGGCTTGCTCCCTTGCTTTCTTAAAGAACCCAGGACCACCAGCCCAGGGATGGGCCCACCCACAATGGGTTGGGTCCTCCCCCATTAATAATCACTAATTAAGAAACTGCCCCTGGATCTTATGGTGGCATTTTCTCAATTGAGGCTCCCCCCCTTTCGGTTAGTTTTCTTTTTTTTGAGTTTGTGTTAGGCTTGGCCGGGGCAGGGCTTTTTGTTCCGGAAGGCGGGCCACTTAGGTTTTTTTCTTTGGGTCCGGGGGCGCCCCACCCCCACCCCCAGTTCCACAGCCTAAGAACTCTTGCTGTGAATCTTCCTCTGTCTCAGTGTTGGCAGTGTGGAAGGAATTTTTATAGGATTAGATGTACTTCTTAGGTCCTTATACTCAGCCAAGCTGGCTGCTCCTAGCTTCTGCATTTTACAGTAAGTCCTCTGCCCTCCCTCTCTGGCTCTGCATTTATAAGTGATCAGGGGGAACGCATGCCCTGGTCATTGGTAGTACAGGCAGAGGAAATGTGGAAAGAATCGTCCACACCCACGCCTTCCAGTGCTGGGGGCTTTCCCATACTGTGATTTCTGAACTCTGCATACATTTGGGCCCTAGGGTATTGTACCCATGTGTACATCATTGCTGTCATTGGGACTTCTGCTTCCTTCCCTGGCTATTAAGTTCTCCTAGATGGCCAGCAAGGTCATTGTCAGCCCACAGTGGCACATTTCCACACACCTGCTGTTTGCATCCATCTCATCCTGTTGGGGGTTACTTATATTAGTGGTATAATTGGCAGTGGCTGCCCCGCTGCAGACCATACACAAAGTGCTTTTTAGGAGTCAGTGGGAGCAATGGGTTTGTTCTTGGAATGAGAGCCAACAGTTTCGGGATGCTTACTGTCCGGTTACTCCTGTGCCAGCCCCTTTCCCCATCACCGCCATGCCCTGCTGTGAGCAACGTCAAGGCGGGTGCTAGTCAGTTTCCTGTTGTTTGCAAGTGAATCCACTGTATACAGGAGCATCATGGGAGTTGTCAGAAACATTACAGACCCACCTATACTTGAGGTGGGTCTCCTGTCCAGTCCATTCTCTAGAGTATTGATCCCTTGCATCTGATACAGCACCATGCATGTTTCTAAGGGCTTCAAGTGATGATATAAGAATAGACTAGATGGGGGCGGGGCTGGGTCTGTCACTCTTGGGCAAAGACCCACTCAGAACTTCATTTTCAGTATTTGAAAAATAAAAGGATGACAGAGATGACTTTTGTTCCATTTGAGAGCATATGTCTGTCCCAATCCCTGCTAGTTCCCAGAGTCTCAGCCTAGGGACTAAGGACCATGAGGCTTTATGGGGCTTTTGTAGGAAAGAAGGACCACTGTGGGGGCCTGTGCTTGGCTGGGCTCTTTTCCTGGACTCAGGCTGCTGGCCTCTGGCATCTGCACCTCTTCTTGGCCTGATGTCTGTTCCTGTGTATGGACCTGCATTTAGAAGTGACCACGGGCTGCCTGTGCTCTGGTCATCCATAATGCAGGGAGAGGAGTTGCTGAAAGCCATTTCCCGTGTTTGAAGGGTCCTCCCCTATCCCTCTCAAATGCTGGCGCTTTCACACACTCCTGCTTCTGACCTGCGCAACATTTCAGCCCTCCCTGTGGGATGTGGGTTACTGTGTAAGAGTCGTGATGTGAGGCATCTTGTTTTCGTTCTGCCGCCGTTTTGAGACAGGGCCCTACTGTGTAGCTCTGGCTTGCCTGCCTCTGTCTCCCAAGTGCTAGGTTTAAAAAAGGCGTGTGCCACCATGCCTTTACAGGAGATATTTTGGCTTGGCCTTCTCAGCTGCTCTCCCTGCTATCAGAGACCATGGTTTTGACACTTTAGAATCTAGAAAAGCCAGGATGAATTACACATAATGGGTGATATGTACTTACCGCTACAAGGTTTTCATAGAGAAGCTATCTTTTTCTGTTTCTTTTTTTCTTTTTTTTTTTTTTTGAGACAGAGTCTCTCTTTGTAGTCCTATATCTCGCTTTGTAGCCCAGGCTGGCCTTGAACTCACAGAGATTTTCCTGCCTCCGCCTCTAGAGTGCTGGGATTAAAAGCGAACACCATCATGCCCGGCAGAAGCGATCTTATGGAGTCGGTGTGCCTGAGTGGGCCTTCAGAGAAATGTGATTCAATGGACAAAAGGAGATTTGTTTTAGGAGGAGGCATGAGAGAGATGGACTTTGAGGCTGAGGTGCAGGCCACTCATGACAGCATATAGGGAAGGCTGCTGGATGGAGGGACATTGGTGGGAGGGGCCCTCAGAGTGAGCCTCCGAGCTGTGTCTTCGCCATTTTATGTGACTGATCAGTTGTCCTGTATGGAGCTGTTTTAGATGAATAGGACGTGCTTTCGTGTTGACTCTTTATCCCTCATTAATTAGGAGCATTCTCACTGACATCGGGATGGAAAGACCAAATCAGGAGGACAGCGCAGACACTAACCATCTCATCACGATTGCCTGCACGAGTCTCATCCAGGTGAACTATTGCCAGACTACTGGATCAGAATGTGCATTCTGAAGTGGAGATTTTAAGTTGCTAGCCTTGCCTGGTTTTCTGCCTTAGGCTATGGTGGCGGTGTCCGAAGGTGCCACATAGCGTGGAGAGCAAGGTCGCTGCCACTGGCTCACCATCAAGGAACATCTTTTTACTTTGGTGAGTATTCAGAGGGAAGGGCCTTGACTCTGGAGACTTGGGGACCAAAGTTAGAGACCCTTCAAGCAGGTTCTGGCACTCCCCTTAGAGCCACAGAATGCCATGTGGCCCTAAGGACCTTGTTCTCACAGGTGAGCACCAGGGATAATCAGGAATATTAAACGCGCAGTGTTGTCTCTTCAAAGGGAGAGACGTATAACTGTTTTCCACCCAGAAGGCTGGGAGTGGAGATGTTTAATATTCCGCTGACCTTTGTGCTATCTGTATGACCAAGACTGTGCCAGAGCCTCCCCCAGACCCTTAAGATGTAGTCGAATGTAGTCTACTAACCGGGTGGTGGTGGTGCATGCCTTTACTTCCAGGACTTGTATGACAGAGGCAGATGGATCTCTGAGTTCGAGGCCAGCCTGGTCTACAGAGTGAGTCCAGGACAGCCAGGACTACACAGAGAAACTTTCTGTCTCGAAAAAACCAAAAATAAATAAATAAAAGTTTTTAAAAAGATGTCGTGTGTAGTCAATCTATAGAACCCATCTTTCTGGAGATGTCAACATGTACTTTACAAAGAGTTTTGATGTATTGTGTGATGTGCTTAAATATACCTAAAATAAAATACCTGGTGTCAGACTCTTGAAGTTTGAACCAACACTTAGCCGGGCGGTGGTGGCGCACGCCTTTAATCCCAGCACTTGGGAGGCAGAGGCAGGCGGATCTTTGAGTTAGAGGCTAGCCTGGTCTACCGAGTGAGTCCAGGACAGCCAGGATTACACAGAGAAACCCTGTCTCGAAAACACAATAAAGTCAAATAAAATCAAATAAAAGTTTGAACCAACACTGGCTATTGAGTCATGTTGAACTAGACTGCCCTTTTGCCTCATTTGGACCATTACTCTGCTGCCTGTGGTGTCTGCAGAGACCCCCACAACTGGCGACCAACGGAAGGGACTCAACTCTGCGAGAAGGTAAGATTTTTCTTTTAATAGAATAGGAGTAGGAGTTCGGTGCCCTCACCCAAGAGGTCATAACGGTGAGTGAGAGAGTAAAATAAGCATGGCTTCTTCTCAGTCCTTTTGAGACAAAGCATTTTATACAATTACTGAGGTGTCTGTTAAGATCCGAAGGAACAAAACATTCAGAGCAACAGCTTCGCAGCTTGGTCCAAGTGTCTGTAAAATTCAATCCTTGGCTTCCTGAACGAGAAATTATTGATGTTGAACATTGGAAATTCAGCCAGATGGTGTGGTCTACAGAGAAAGTTCCAGGATAGTCAGGGCTACACAGAGAAAAACCCTGTTGAGAAAAACCAAAAAGAAAATTGGAAATGCATAGGAGCTAATGTAAAAAGGGCCCATAAAAGAGGAGATAAAATTCCTGTCAATTATTTTGCAAGCTGGAGTACAGTAATATATTGCCTGGACTCTCAGGAGGATCATTGAAAAAAGAATTTTTGTTTTCTCTGCAGGTCAAGTGGACTTCGCTGCTACTCTGGTTTCCTGGAGGTCACCCAGACAGGCTTGGTCAGGGCATGCTCAGTCTGATGGAACTCAGAGCATCCATCTAATGATGTACTCACAGTCTTAGCAAAATAAGGAATTTTATCTTGTCTTTACATAAAAAAATGGAGACTTTCTCACTTCAGGCTTTTCAGGCACTGAGAGACCAAACACCACCTAGATTCCTCTGTATTTATGATTGCTAAAATTTCATTTTTTTAAATTTGTATTTTTGTACAGCATAACAAAAAATTTAAAAATAGTAATGTGAACAAACTTAACATGGATTTAAGGGAAAAAATAGGGGCAAATTGGAATAAAAAAAAAGTTTTAGGATATTTCTTCTGGATAACACGGTGGCCAAGGACTGAAAACATTATTGCATGTTTCTCACATTTCCTTGGAGGGCAGAAGGGGTTAAACTGGAAATGCAATCAGTGTGAGTTAGATTATTTTAAAGTTTTCACCTAAAATTATTTTTGGTCCGGACTGAGAATCTGTGAAATGTAGTGAGAACTAGAGCCTTCTGGCAAGTTCTTCCTCCATGGAACCGGAGTGCTTTGATGATGTTCACATTTTTGTTTTGTTTGCAGTATCAGCTGGATATGTACTTTCATACTCACATAGGAAAACCCAATTGTTTTCTCCTTCAGGTTTTTCTGTGATTGTTTCTCAGGTACTTCTGAATATCCTGTTACCTAATAGGAAAGTCTTCTCGAACTCAAAACTAAAATTGCCCTGAATTTTAAAGATCCCAAATCTTACATCAATAGCCTTAGGTCTAAACCTTTGAAAGTTAATACCCTTTGTGAATTATGTGGTTCTACTTATGTTTTAGGTTTGTGCTTGCCCTTGGTCTGACATAAATGATCAGACCCTTAGCCAGGGAGGAAGTGAGAGGAGGCTCGTGAGAGCCTGTCCTCTATTGAAGGCTTATTCTACACAGTATTCCAGTGCATAAGTAGTAGTGAGTGGTTCTCACATCAGCTTGACATCTAGAACTAGGCTGTCTGTGTCTAGGGCCTTCTCTACTGACTTGTGTGTAGAGACCTGTGCTCAGTGTGCACCAAAGGCATACACAGTGCCTCTCCCTAACTGGTCAGCTGCAGAGCACAACCCCAGCATGACATGGGGTCCTGGGGGGCTCCAGGAAAACACCATTGGATCATATCTAGAACTTTATTTTATCAAATAGCTCTTTAAACATTTCCTTCCTAGGACTCCCATTACAACTAAAAACTGAAAATGGACCTGTTTATACTAGGAAACACTTTAAAAATTTTCACAGTTTATGGAGTATTAATCATGTTACTGAAATCTCTTATAATCGACAGGGTCAAACTATTATAAAACAACACCATCCCCAGCACCCACAGCTGTCTCT